CGGCGGACGGCGCGCGGACGGCGGACGGCGGACGGAGCGGGGCACGCCGGATCGGGCCGGGGCAGCAACGGCGCCGGGGCGGGTCGGGCGAGGCAGCGGCACGCTGCGGCCGATGCTGGAGCTGCGCTGGCAAGGCCAGCTGGGCGGGCCGGATCGGGCGGGCGGCCGTGAGGGGCTCTGGCGGGGGCGGCCGCGCGGGAGGGGCCCAACATGGGGGGCGCGCCATGGGGTGGCCCAGCTGGGAGCGCTGGGGGGGGGGGCGCCGCCGGATGGCTGCCCACGGGAGGGACCAAAGACGGGGGCGCACGGGGAGGCACACACAGGGGGGGAGGTGTCCAGTTTTAGCCACCCGACGTCGCCACTTGCTCGAAACTTTCTCAAATTTTTACCACAGCTCGCATGCGATGCGATGACAAGACACGTCGTCAAGTTTCGTCATTTTCGGACTCGTTTCGATTTTATAAAATTTAAAACACACTTTTCACGCAGCGGGCTCGGCGTGTTCCGACACCAACACGGTCGAATTTCACGCGAGGCCCACGCACACGGCCTCAACATGCTCCAAACATCATGAATATCATTTTCTGAATGGCCGGATTCCATTATTTCATGTACCGCAGCTCAAATCTGGAGTCATCGAAAAAAATCAAAGAAATGTAAAAAATCTACTAAATATAGCAAAATAAATCAAAATGATCCCAAACTTGGAATATATCATGTACTTACAGTATCAAGGCAACACAAAAAACGGGATCGAAAATAAAAAAATAAAAAAATTCTTTGCCGATCGCCAGGGGAGGATGGCGATTAACAAAGCTCGCGCTTTTGCCGATCGGCGGGAGTGGCGTCGGCAAAAGGTGACGGTGTGGATGGCGTCAACCATGGCCTGCCTTTGCCGACTGCAATTCTTTGCCAACTGCCTAGCAGTCGGCAAAGCCATGGCTTTGCCAACTGCCTGGCAGTCGGCAAATCCTGCTTTGCCGACTGCAGGAAATTCCAGTTGGCAAAGGGACCTCTTTGCCGAGTGTCGAAAAAAAACAGTTGGCAAATAAAATTGCAGTCGGCAAAGAGCCAGTTTCCTGTAGTGTCCTCTCCGCCGTCTCCTTCCACTGCTCCTCATCCGCCACAGCCACAGGATAATGACACTCCTTGATGAGATCCAAGAGCTCACCACGGTCGTACATGGTCCATGCCAGCAATGGCAGAAACTTGTGGCTCTCCGGCGCGTTGTTGTCCATGTTCTTTCTCCGGCCGATGAGCTCGAACAGCAGCATGCCGAAACTGTACACGTCACACTTCTCGGTGATCGGCGCCGTCCCGACATGGATCACCTCGGGTGCCATGTAGCCGAAGGTGCCGCGGGCTACGTGCACGGAGGCGTGCGTTTCCGCCCTGCTGAGCAGCTGCGCGATCCCGAAGTCGGTGAGCTTAGGATTCAGTGAGTCGTCCAGGAGGACGTTGCTAGCCTTGACGTCGTAGTGGATGATCTTCTTCTGGCACTCCTCGTGGAGGTACCGGAGGCCTCTCGCGACGCCACCGGCGATGGCGAGCAGCGCGGCGGGACCTACAACCCTGTGCCGCCGGTCGAAAAGGTACTTGTCGAGCGAGCGGTTGGCCATGAGCTCGTACACCAGCGCGCGCTCGTCGGCGTCGAAGCAGTAGCCAATCAACCTGATGAGGTTGGCGTGGTTGGTCCTCCACAGCGTGCCCACCTCGGCCATGAACTGCTGCTCCGTGACCTCGTCGTCCATGTTGTCGTGCAGCACCTTGACGGCGATGTCGAGTCCGTTGGGGAGCATGCCCTTGTAGACGGCGCCGAAACCACCGGCGCCGAGCTCGGCGGACTTGTTCTGTGTGTACCCGTCGAGCTGCTGCGCCGTGAATCGGATGGGCTTCTCGCGGGCGATCTCGTTGAGAAAGTTGTCGATGGTGGTGTTGCGTATCATGGAGTCCGGGAACGCTGGCCTCTGCTCCGTCGCCGCCTCGCCGGTGGTGGTCTCGTCTTCACGTCGATTGACGGGAAGCCATGCTTCCTGAAGCATCTGTAGATGAAGTACACCACCAACACGGTTGCTACGAGACTGACTATCGACATAACTGCATCCATTATGTAAATTAGTTAGTGCTGTCTCGGCCTGAGATGAATGAAAATTAAGAACCGGAAAAACAGTTACTGAGATTTTAGAACGCACCAACGGCAATGGCTGTGAGGGAGTCGAAGGTTTTATTGAACTCATCAGAGTTGGACATGACGGTGGATCGGGAATCAAGTTAAGGGTAAGTTTGATAAAGAGGAAAGGATAATGGAATGGAACGAAGTACCTTGTCGAGCAATGCATTATTTAGATCTTTTTTTATTTATAGTGTTCATAGATACCAGGGCGTCCTGCGAACTAGTTTACGCGTGTCTCAAGTTGCAGGTCTCTCTCACTCATCGCAATCATAAAAAAGACATTCTCTCACTCTCATCAATAAATTTACCGTGTGGAAATTTGAGAGTAATGAGCTAATGAAACACGTTCCTTTCCTGTGATGGAAACCGGCTCGAACACGTCTCTGCAATGCACAGTAGTAACAGGGAAAAGTATTTTTCTTAGCAACGAAGCAAGAGCTTTGCCGTATTTTTATTAGACGAGTGAAAAGAAAAACTCCAGAAATACAAGAGCTCCAGCTACTACGGCTCGTAGACCGGAAGAGGAAAAACACAACTGCTACTGGATTACAAGAATAAAATAAACTCCACTCTAGATCTACCGACTCCATGTACTTCACCGATTGAAGGTCTTTTGGCGAGTTGATATTGCTGTATGCCATTTTTGCATAGAAGAGCTACTTGTCTTGGTTGTAGAGGGTTTTTGTTGGAAAATTCGTCTATTTGTTCCTTCCAAACGTTCCACCAAAAATAGATTATTATTCCATTCTGTCAAACTTTGCACGGCATTTGTGCGAGAAACCATGTAACGATCCCGTTGCTACCAATGAGTCCACTGCCGATAGTTGCAACCACTGATTCAAATATGTCCAAACTTCTTTTGTAAAGGGGCAATCTCTACTGGTGGAATTTCAATGGAAGACTGAAGGAATCAATTTTTTTCTCTCCTGTAGCATAGTTTGGAATACAGGATTTAGTAACTTCCTTTCCAAAGGAAAGTTTCATGTGCTTGTACGTTTTGGAGGAAAACAAACATCCAGTTCTATCTCTTGTTTTTCTTTCCTTCACAAAGTCCAAGACAATGAAGCACAATAGCGTGTGTCTGTTGGCCTGCAAGCTGGTTGAAACCTTGTACAAAAGTCTAATCATATACGTTAACATCGAGTCTGAGTGTCCCTTTCATTCCTGTGTTCCAAACACTAATGTTTCAAAAATTTATGAGTTGTTCATTCCTCTGTTTTAACACTACACTCCTAACTCGTTCCTATGTTCTGTTCAATTCCTGTGTTTTGCATTCCTACGTTCCACACATGCCCTAAGTGTTCTAGCCATCAAAAGTACTTAAAAATATTTGGTGAATAACGTGGTGCTTTGCAAAGTGCTTATACTAGTTAATTAGAGCACTCAATTGGCGCTTTGATCTAGGCTTAGCTTAGTGTTTGGTGAGTTTTGCATACCACTTAGTCACTCGGTGCTTGCGTGCACTATTGTTTTGGGGCAAAACTGTCCAATTTAACTTTCTTTCAAGTGCACCCGTCATCCATTTGATACTAAGTATCCAAGAAACCAAGTCAAATCCAGTAATCTATTAAGCACAATCAATGAGAGAACTAGAAACAATCCACCTTTTCATCCAAAATTCAGAAACATGTAAATAAATTTTACAACATTCTTAATTCATTTCATACATTACAAGAGTTATTACAAAACAAGATTTAATAAATATAGCATAAGATAAAACATTTATATAAAAAAGTAGCAGAAGCCTAAATTTTTTTCTTAAATTCAACAAAATTTAGAATTGAAAGATTCAAAATATTGCGACGGAGCAATGAAACGAAGCCTCACTGAGTCCACCAAGAGGTATCCACATCCAGCGTCCACCTGCAACATGAGGAATAAAACACTAAGTATACAATGTACTGAGCTAGACTTACCCGACTAGGCACTACAAAAATTTGGGCTTTGTATGACAAAGGCAAATTGTCACGGTAAGTACATAATTTGTCATAAAAAGCATCTTATGACGAAAAGGCAGCGTCACGCCAATCGTCATATAACGACCGTCACATAATGTACCTCGTGACGATACCATGGAGAACCGTCACAAAATGTGGTTACCTTTTATGACGGTGTGTTTCCAGCGTCACATATTAGTTATCTTTTATGATGGCTGTGCTCGTCACATATTGGATAGTCAACGTGTCACTTTATGTACGCGCCGTCACAAATGATTCGGTGGAAGACATGTTTGGATGGGTTTTTGCGACGCCACAATAGCGTCATATATACAATTTTATATTTTGTGACAACTATATTTCGTCTTGTTTTGGATGGTAGTTTGATGCATTTTGAGACGACTGTATGGTGTCACAAGTTGTCTTCATTCATGACGAGCGTGGCATGCATATTCAGTGACGACACAGATCTTTCATCACATCTCACAAAAGCATAATACACATATATCATCCAATCCATCATCCACAGAATGCACTAAAGCCATCATCCACATGATTGACATCACAGGTCATAAATCATACACACTTGTTCCAGCCACACATTGTTATCATCCACAAACATGCATACATATAAGTTTCGTTTGCGTGTTACCACACATTGTTCCAAAGACACTTGTTCCACCACATAGTTTCAGGTCACCAACATAACAACAGATAAATAGATAGCACATTGGACTGACAAAGTTCCAACCACACAGAGTAAGTTCTAGCTAGGTAGCAATAACATTGGCAAAAGCCTCATCCTGCGAAACTGCATTCATACCTACCTCAATCTTTCTGAAGTTTGAGGACAGCTCGCAGCAGTGCATTAGTCTCTTCAAACTTGGTATTCATCCCTTCACTTCCTCTTGAGTCTGGGCGCAGAGCAAACTTTGGTTTTCTTGGAGTGCGGCCTGCTGAGCTTGAAGCTGTGCTTGCAATTCTTCCTGCTTCCTAGCAGCTTCATCTCTTTCAGCTTGAAGTCTTGCCTCAAACTCAGCTTGAAGGCGTGCTTGTGCTGCTGTCGATGAGGCTTGGCCAGTCTTCGACAGTCTAGGGACACCAATGTTCGGAAGAAAGGTGGATGAATGGCTGATGTGGCTGAGACTTTCAGCAACAATAGTGGAGGGAGACTTTTGTGCTTCTCCTTCTTCTGGCTCTCTTTCCTTCTCTGCCACCATTTGTTCCTACATAAAATGAATGCAGTTAATAACAAGGCCATAGAATAGTACAGAAGCAGGCATTTACTTGAGTACAGTAGATGTATCCAATCATTTAGGAACTTACATATATTTCATCTGGAAGAGGAGTACGACCACTTTGGCGACTAGTCATGCATTCCCCAAAGAAATCAACAGCATCTGGTTCCATGTTGTTGTACTTAGGCCTCTGCAGCATGTTAAAAGCAGAAGATATAAGAGTAGCCATGAATTATATGTACATGCCAAACACCAAGATGCCAAAATATGTATGCACTAGACATCATACTAGTTTTTGCCTAAGTATTTGCCTCTAGATTTTTTATGCCAACAACAAATACAATCACTAATAGTCAACTAATTTCTGACAGTTGGAGAAAAACAACTCAGGATTATGCATCAATCCAACCTGGACAGATCAAGAAGAATAACTTGGCCTAATCAACACCTACTACTACTGTTGATGAGCTTCTCTGTTGACATAACAATTTGTATTGCAGATTTCAGTTTGAAATGGTCAACTTAAGAGATTAGGAGCATAAACACCTACTGATTATAGCTCACTCAGCACAGCGCAAATATTATGAACATGGGAGCTCATCTCAGAAATCATAGGGCCAAAGCCACAATCAACTACAAAATCAGAGCTCATCTCAGAAATCAAAGGGCCAAAGCCACAATCAAATACAAAATTAGAGCTCATCTCAGAAATAAGTGGAGCAAGTGCTAACTTGATAGTCCACAAGCACATGGTAATTACTAAGCTACAAATGTCCCATCTTTCAAGCTAATTATACAAAAGACATAGTATCTGTACCAGGCTGTATCGATGGGCAATATATGACCTAGCTCCAGTCTTTTGGTGCAGCTGCACTTGGCCTCGGTTAACTTTATTCTTAGCAGATTTTTCTTGCACCACAAATGCAATAAAGAGTTGTCATTCACATGCACAGGTTGCATTGCATAATAACAAAAGGAGATAATTCAGGCATGGACCTTATTCTTTGGGTCACACCAGTACTCTACCAGCTTTACCCACTCCTCTTTCTTCATCTTTGGTGGAGGCTGTTTGGCCAAGAGCTGTTCCATTGTGAGTGTAGGGTCGAAGTACTTTGTTTTCAGGTGATACCTCTGCTGCCTTACTCCCTTCTTGATGATATCAGTGCATGCAGCTTTGCTTGGTCCCTCGTTCTTAATATCCACATCCAACCTTGACTGCAGTCACACATATGAGATATTAGACACAATTTTTGACATGGTAGTGGAGTAATGAAAGGAACTATTTGGAGTGAAATAGCTATCTTACCGCCACTTTCTCAAGCACTTTTGTTATTTGTGCCGGTCCCGCATCTTTTTGATATAGCTTCCAAGATGTTAAGATAGGCAGGTTGTCTCTCAGGGCAACACCAGTTTCTGATGCCAGCTTCGCTGCCTGAAGTGGTACATCAGGTCTTTTCTTCCCTTCAGCCACCTGGATAGCCAACTTCTTTCCTCTATTTATCATCTTCTCTAAGCCATGACCCATGGTTTTCTTGCGGACATTCTTTTGGCGCGCTGCATTAGCAAATATTGATCAAAATGTGTTATTAAAGCAGTAACAATTGTAGATAATGATTGGAGAAACAAATGCTTGGCAGTATGTATTGTTTACCTAGAACTAAGTCATCACTTGGTTCTCCTTCACATGTATTACCCTCTGAATTAGCAGCATCAAATTGCTCAGCTAACTCATTGATGTCATTGCTTTGCCTAGAGCTCTGGCCACCTGGCGAGGTGTCTGTAGGGATTGGCTGGTTAATACTAGTTGCGGGAGTCATGGTAATAGTGGGTCTAGGAGTATGCTTAGGGTTAGCACCAGGCGAAGACATGGCTGCACTTTGCCTGGTGAATCTAGGAGGACTAGGCATTGGCTTTGCAGCAGGCATAGACATGGCTGGACTGGTCCTAGTATGCTCAGGGTTAGCACCAGGCGAAGACATGGCTAGACTGGTGAATCTAAGAGGACTAGGCACTGTTTTTTGAAGTGGCGCAGACATGGCTGGACTGTTTGTGGTCTTAGTTGGATTACTAGGCACTGTGCTAGTAGTCTCTGTGGTGTTGCTGGTGTTTGGTGTGAGGTGGCCTTGCAATTGGCTGGCACTAGAGATGGCAATAGGTTTAGGGTTGGCTTTGGAAGTGTTCTTAGGAAGCAAGGGATTTCTTATCCTAGGTGGTGGACGGCCTCCAGGCGAAGGCATGGCTGCACTTTGCCTAGTGAGTTTTATTGGCGTCCGCAGTTCTTGCTGGTTGGCAGCCGCCATTGTTGCTGCCTTTTGCTTCTTCTGAGGGCGAGTTCCTGGAACCATCGCTCCTACCTGCCAAGAGAAACATGCATCTTAGTAATGAACAAAGAAGTGTCAAGTAGCATAATTAAGTACAATGAACTATATGTTTGAAATAGATATACCATAAACTTGTTAGTTGGCCTAGTAATGCATCTCACCTCGGTATTGACCTCATTATTGAGGTCATCGTCATAGTCATCATCAGTGTCAGATTGTTTATCAACATCAGAGGAGGGGTCATATTCAATGTCAGATTCTGGATTGTCAGATTCTAAATTCCCCCTGCCCTTTTCCTTTTTTGATATAACTTCTCTAATAGACTGAGCTAAGATTGGAATACCGAAAGACTTAAAAACTTCCTGAACATGCTTTACATTCTCATCCCTCTTCTGCTCATAACTGGTTTTTGTCATTTCCTCTATTACTTAGTACGATGAAACGTAGAAAGAGCAGAAACTAGATTCAGTTTCTATAAAAGGAGTTGAAGAAATAACTAACACATCAGTACTCTGTTAAATAGTAAAAAGAAGGCAAAGTATCAAGTAAATTCAACTAACATGGTTATGCAGGTAAATGTGACAAGAAACAACTAACAGATGACAACAATGTCTCAACAACTAACAGATGACAACAATGTCTCAACATGTATCCATCTTTCATTTCATTCCAACTCACAATTTTTTGCAAAAACAGAACTACAGCGTGTGCATTCCAACTCAGTCAGTAGAAGACATGTACATTGCAATGGTAGAACAAGATTAGAATTATGTACATTCATCTTTCTTGTGCATCTAACAATTTTCAGTCATGCATGATTTATGTCCATCTTAGTATATTATGATAAACACTATAACTGGATTACTTTGCCCGTAGCCAATAAACAACAACCATCTACCAGACACCCAAGGTTGAATTTCACTAGTACTTATAGTAAATATAAAGCATATACTTCACTCAGTTACAGATGACTTGTCCAATCCAATTGAAATAACAGTTTCAAATCAGTTGTGAACTTAACCAATATCAGGATTGCCAAGATATGAAAACAAGGATGCTACAAGCGGGCTCACCAAGTGTCAGCGGGTAGCCGGCGAGGCAGACGACGTGGCGCGGAGCCGCAGCGGTAAGCACACGCCCTGTGGTGGACGGGCGCCCTATGAGCCGTGGATGTCGTCGGGGCAGCGTGAGCTACGGATCTGGCCTCCGGCGTCGGGGTGGTTCCGGCCTCCGGCGTCGGCGCTGACGGAGTCCGAGAATGGATCCAGCGTCGGCGCTGACGGCGTCGGGGTGGCGGCGGGGTGCCGTTAGGTTTCGGGGAGGGAGGAGGAGGCCATGGTATGCGCGAGGAGGAGTAGATCCTGGCCGGGGATGGGCGGCGGTGCGGTGGCTTGGTAGGCGGCGGTGCGGCGGTGTGGCGGTGCGGGGATGGAGGGGAGTGGACTGTGGTGCCCAAGAGGATAAGGCAGGAGGGGAAATTTTGGTCTGACGCGGGAGTGGACTGTGGTCACAGCCAACGCGCAGGAGAGCGGGCGGTGGAGGTAGCCAATTTTGGTCTGACGCGGTGGGTCCGCTGTGTCGGTGGCAGAATGCAGCACTTGCATTGTTCTGTCCTGGCGCGGTGGGGCCCCTATGTCAGTCATAGAAACAGTATTATTATGAAATCAAATACATTTTTGGGGTACTAAATGATTCGAACTAGAAAAATGGTAAGAAACAAAGTTGTTCAGCGCAGCGAGATCTACCATTTGTATTTCTGACATTTTTTCAGTTGACTTTGTTTAGAGAGTTCAAACTTTGAATTTGGAAAATTTTAAACTTGAAACTCAAATTTGAGGTACTAAGTAATTCCAAATGACAAAGTCATGAATACAAAAGTTGAACAACTCATCAACATCTAAAACTTTTGTATAGACCATTTTTTCATATGACAAAGTGATTAAAACTTTGTTCTCAAATTCTACTTATCTCTCTTATAGTTCATGAACTATAAGAGAGACATCATTGGCTCAAATATGACCATGCCAACCACTTCTATACCAAAGGTGCAACCATTCTACATGAGGCTTATCATTGATGCATTTGATGAATTGGTGCTCCACCATAAAATGTGTATATTTTTATTTTCAGAATTACTTACATGGATCAAGGGAAGGTTTGATTGCATATGGAAAGCATGGAAGGTTAATGAAGTTGATTGGGGACCAAATCCAAGTATTCCCAACGTCCTCCACCTGGACACCACGTCACTTTTGGTCCAAGGAAAGAAAGAGATCAAATCCAACACGTTTTGGGGCTGAACTATAAGAGAGATAAGTAGAATTTGAGAACAAAGTTTTAATCACTTTGTCATATGAAAAAATGGTCTGATAAGTAGAATTTGAGAACAAAGTTTTAATCACTTTGTCATATGAAAAAATGGTCTATACAAAAGTTTTAGATGTTGATGAGTTGTTCAATTTTTGTATTCATGACTTTTTCATTTGAAATATTTTTTAGTGTCTAAATGTGGTTTGTTTTTGTCACTTTTTGGAAATTCAAAGTTGTTAGTGTTCAATTTTTGTTACATTCAAATATGACCAAACTCAATGCAACTAATGGATACATCATGATTTTAGAAAATTTTAGAAAAAAAACATCAAATTTGGAGCATGTATGTGGGAGTAATACTAGTTACAATTTTTTTGCCAAAGATCAAAAAAAGAAATGAGCTTTGCACAATGAAGGCCTAAATACCATGAAGGCCCCACTTGTCATAGAAAGTTTGCTCCACTAAGACACAAATGTGTTGAGGCCGGCCACATCTGGCCACCTGCTCCTCACCGACCACCCCCACCTGCTCCATAGCCGGCGACCCCTATCCCACCTGCTCCTCGCCGGCGACACCGTACCCCACGTGCTCCTCGCTGGGGCTTGATGAGCGCGCGCTAGGGGGCGACCGCGTGAAGCTACTCCTCCTCTCAGGTCCCAGCGCGCTGACCTCGACTGCTCCCTCGCCTAGATGCCTGCTCCTCCTCTCAGGTCCCAGCGTGTCGCCGGTCGGCTACTCCTCGACCGTGTGCTTGCTGCAGCCAAGCCGACCAGAGCAGCTGCTGCAGCCTCGCCGGCCAGAGGAGCTGCTGAAGCCTCGCAGCCCAGCCCATCTGCTTGCCACTGGCTCGGCAGCCATTGTTCAAGGTTGATTTTTCAACATATATGAAGCATAAACATAATTTGTCCACATCATGATTTTTAAATTCTTGGCACTTACATTGTCCAGATGGATAGGAGCTGGGTTTATAACAGTGCGCCATTTACTCCCGCCTATATGGATGGTGTTGAACAGTTCATGGCACATGTCAGAGCTAGATATAGGCCTCATGAGGAAATCAAGTGCCCATGCCGCAAATGCCTGAACCAAAGAGATAAAAGTCAAGCTGAGGTACAAGAGCATATAGAAATCAATGGTATTTCTAAAATGTACACAAGTTGGATTCACCATGGAGAGGGAGATAATGATGTTGTACAAGATGGAGAACTCCCTGTTGTACCTGAAGATATGTCATGGGATGGAAATGACCAGGCTCCACTTGATGATGAAGGACAAGCTGAAGATGTCATATTAGATGATAGTGAACGGGGAGTTCAGGGTTTGATTCAAGGTCTGTACACCACAGCAAGCCATTGCGTCGGTGCCAACTTATATAAGCAAATCATGGAAGAGGCAAAGCGTGAACTTTATCCAGGTTGCACCGAGGAGTCTAGGCTAAGTTTCATTATTAAAATGCTGCATATAAAAGTGTACAATCGGATAACAAATTCTGGGTTTGATGCAATGCTTGAGTTGCTTTCAACATCATTCAAAAATGTGACCGGCCTCTCTAAGTCCTACAATGAAATGAAAGCTCTACTTCGGAAGCTTGGTTTTGGTTATGTTTCTATTCATGTGTGCAAGTATGACTGTGCCTTATTTTGGAAAGACCATGAAGAGGATGATCATTGCCCAGTTTGTGGCTTCACAAGATGGAAAGTGAACAAGGAGGGCAAAAAGAAAGTTCCTCATAAGGTCCTCCGTTACTTTCCAATAATTTCACGCCTCCAAAGGCTTTTTATCTCAAAGCAGCGGGCACAATATGCAAGATGGCACAAGGAAAAGAGGGTAGCAGTTGAGAATGAAATGAGACATCCTGCTGATGGAGAAGCTTGGAAAGAATTTGATGATACTTTCAAGTCTTTTGCAGATGATCCTCGCAGTTTGAGGCTTGCCATTGCTACTGATGGATTTAACCCATTTGGTCAGATGACCAATTCATATAGCATCTGGCCAGTGATAGTGGTTCCATACAATTTTCCACCATGGATGTGTATGGACCAATCCAATTACATGCTTGCTTTACTAATTCCTGGCAAAAAATCAACGGGCAAAGATTTCCATGTGTTCATGCAGCCTTTGATAGCAGACATGCTAACTCTTTGGAATGGTGTCCCTACTTATGATGCATATGAAGGCAAAGACTTCAGTCTGCGTGCAGCGATTCTGTGGGGAATCCATGACTACCTTGCATTAGGTACCATGTCAGGCAGAAGCACTAAGGGTTACTTCGCATGTGTGCACTGTGATGAGAATCCATGCTCCGAATGTCTGACCAACAAAATTGGATTCATAGGCCATAGACGTTTCCTCCCAAACAACCATCCGTGGAGGAAAAATAGATCTTTCAATGGCCACCATGAAAATAGGGAGCAGCCAAGGAAATTTAGTGCAGATGAGGTTATGGCAAGGTTGGATGAAGTTTGCTATGTTCCTGGCAAGAATCCAGATAAGCCGAAATCAAGAAAACGACGCCGTGGTGGAGAACCAGTATGGCATCTGAAGGTTAGCTTGCATGATTTGCCATACTGGTCAAAATTGAAGCTACAGTACAACCTTGATGTTATGCACATAGAGAAAAACATATGTGAAAACATTTTGTCAACTCTACTTAATATTCCGAACAAGAAAAAGGACACAATTGCTGCTAGAGTAGATTTGGAAGAAAGAGGTATAAGAAAAGAGCTTCATTTGTTAGATGACACTGGTGCTGCATCCTCAAAGCCAAGAGCTTGTTACGTTCTAACACCAGAAGCAAAGAAGAAGTTCTTGCAATTTGTGAGCAATGTTAAGTTTCCAGATGGCTATGCCTCCAATATATCAAGATGTGTCAATATGGAGGGAGGAGGATCAATGCATGGGCTGAAAACACATGACTGTCATATACTACTGCAGCGTATTTTACCAGCTGGCCTTCGTGGTTTGGTGCGAAAAGACGTATATGAAGTAATTGCTGAGTTGGGTAGGTTTTTTAGACAACTTTGCTCAAAAACTCTAAAGGTTGATGCACTAAAACAAATGAAGGAAGATATTGTGCTTATCCTTTGCAAGCTAGAGAAAATTTAT